AAAAAGTAGTGTTATTTTTATAACATAATGCTTCTTGGAAAAGAGAAACCTTTTATTTTGTAGCAAAAAGTCTCCTCTTTCTGGTGTAACTCATAGACAAGTCCTCCGATCTATATTTCACTTTTAATAACCGAAATACTGTGCTGGATCTGCATTTTCCAAGCATTTTCAGCTATTTTGGCTTGGCTAATCAAATGCATTTTTAAAACTAAACATAAATCACTTTGAAAAGTTTTTTTTATGAAACTGTTCAGAATAAGCTCCTCTATCTATCTGTATAGGTTTCGAGTCGAACTGATGTCTCTTTGATACAAAAAAATGAGAAAATACCTTTTTGTTCTTATAATTTTGTCCAACCAAAAACCACGGTTTTTAATAAACATATACGTTCTCAAACTTCATATTGAAAACGAGGAAATCCGAGTTCAGTTTCGGATAGAGCATGTCGGAATGCATATGTGTAGATACATGAACTATTTCGAGCAGATGAAAAGTAAAGACAAATGAAATGAAAACACTAAAAAAATTGTCTGTTCTTATAATTTTGTCCACTACTGTATATATTTTTGTATGAAGCTTTTTACGCTAGAGTGATATTTTTTGAAGTAGTCTTTTTGACACGCGCGGACGCACAAGAAAGAAAAAACATCTAAATTCGTATGATGTGCCTTCGATACCAAACGATTCATAAAAAAGTTATTCTTTCTCAGTCCCATAGACTTATAGAAACTTCTGTCAGGCGCTTTAATAATGATATAAACTTCCCAAGTTTCTATATTTACTTTCCCCTAGGGATTCGTTTTGACATTTAATAAATCTTTTCCAGTAGTCATACACATAGTCGCGAAGTTGCTGCGTATAGACATTTGATCAACAGACTTATCTGATAATGTTAAACTTGAAAGATGCATTTAATTATTGGATCTCTCTAGAAGTGTTTAAGTGATCAGTACAAGATAGAGTTTATCTTTAACATAATGATGATTATGGCTTGTGTTTATACAATTCATTACGTCGTTATATCTTTATGAAGTGTCAATCTTGTCAGAATAAATATTTTTGAATGGTTCAATATTACAAATTGAATTATTATATGTATGAAATATTCCGTCTTATTCATTCAAAACAGCTTCTCTTTTTAACGACAATGAACACTAATGTTGAATATTCTTTATATAAAATAATATGAAAGCCACATGTTTTTCTTTGGATTTCTTCATTGATTTTGAGTTCTCAACTATTTCATGAAAACTAACTTAATTAGATTAACAATGTGTGCTAACTGATTATTTTATTCGTAAAAAAAACTTAATCGTTATTTATCATATATACAATAAATGTATTGAGTCATATAAACCGTGTATTCATCAGATATTAGCAGGCAAAGTATCTATATGATTTTTACATGAGTATTTTTTTCTTTTTTTCGCTCTTCGTTCGTTGTCTCGTATTGAAGGCCTTCTCATAACTATGATACTACTATACTTGTATATGTTGATGATAATGACAATATGCGTTTAATAAAGTCATGGTTGATTGCTTTCACTCGATATGTCCTCTTACCTTCACACTACCTCCCATTAGCATTTTTTGAGAATAGACCTTTTCTGTTTGTGCTCTGTGTTACAGTGAAAACATCCTTTAAACACACACACACGCTCTTCACACTACTAAAATAAAAATGAGGTAAGATTGAATTCTTAAGATAAACAATCTTTTTTTTATTCGTTTTTTTTAACTTATACTTGTTTAATAATAGCAAATCTAGGTAAGAAGGCAAATCTAACGAAGATGCATTTATTTAAAGAAAAAATTTGAAATAAATCTTTACTTCTCATAGTGATCATCGATCATCACGCAGTTCAAAAGATTCTCATCGTGATCGAGACAGCCATAAAGATAATCGTGAAGATAAATCATCATCAAATCATTCAGCAGTGAATAATGCTGTTTCCACAACAACAGATCGAGCTTTTAAGGATAAACATCATCCATTATTAATTGCTATTTGGAATACAGATCGTACACAAACAAATTTAGAAGAAAAACTTAAAGGTCTTCGCGATTTAATCAAAAAAGGAACAAGTATTATTTCGTTAAATTATTCTTTTTATTTTTTCAAAGGTTTTGTTTTCTCCTTTCAAAGACCTAAATGTTAATTGTGACATTTTACATGAACAAACTGGTACACCTATAGCTCAAGTATCACCATTGATAATTGCTTGTTTTGAAGGAGATATTGATATTATTCGACTGTTTGTTGAAGTAACTAAGATAAAAATTAGAATGACTTTATTTTTATTTTCTAATTAAAGAATGGTGCTGATCCAAATCAAACGGAAAGTGAACATCATTTAACACCTATTCATGTTTTATGTGATGCTGAATATCATGGACAATGCTTAAGAGTAAATATAATATTTACAGTTAATATTATTAGGATATTATTTTATATATCTAGCAAAAAGATCGTGCTGATTTAATTCGTTTATTAGTTAAACATGGTGCCCAAGTTAATCATTTAGATCGAAGTTCAATGGCACCTATTCATAAGTAAAACAAATAAATCTACATAATTAAAACTAGGAATCATTTATTTTTTTAGAGCTGTTATTCATGATCGACCTGAATGTGTTCAAGTATTAATGGAATCACGTGCTGATCCAAATGTTGCGTTCATGGGTGACACACCATTGAGTATTGCAGCTCGACATAATCGAAAAAACATTGTTCAGTAATAACAAAGTTGAACATTGTTTCATTTTATTTTATTTTTCCTTAGGATTCTACTCAATCATAAAGAAACTAATGTTAATCATCGTAATGATCAAGGTGGTACAGCACTTCATTTTGCTAGCGCTGGTAAGTCTCATGATAATATACAAACAAGCAGAACACAATAATTTCTTGTTATAAAATAATATTTAGCAATAGTTGATAGTCCAGAATGTGTTGAATTATTATTACAACATGGTGCTAAAGTAAATGCGCAAGATTTGAAAAATAACACAGCTGCAATGGTTGCTTGTTTTTTTAATAAACCAAGGATTTTAACTACTCTCATTCGAACTGGTGCTGATCTTGTACCACGAAATAATGAAGGTTTGAAAAAAAAACACTTTCACTGTCGAATTATGTTTTATTTATTTTTAGGAAAAGATGCATATGATGTAGCCGTAGAAAAAGAGTTCGATGAATGCAAAGATATTGTTGCTAAAGCACTTGAAAAAAGAGGTATTAAGGCAGGTACTAAGCCCAATCAAACATCGACGAAAACTGATAAGTTAACCAATGATGTTGACAAATTAAAAATTAAACGTTAGACAAAGTCGTTTGATATTCAATTAGAACAAGAAGAAAAAAACAAACGAATACTTGGTAGTCACAAATAGTCTTTTGTTTTTGTTTGTCATTGCTAATCTCTTCTTTTTTTCTTTTGTGTGATTGCACGAAATATTTCTTTCTTTCTTTCTCTGTCTAATTTAACTGCTACATCTATTTCACGCTTATCTAATGACAAGTATTTTTTAACCTTATTGGTCGATTCTCATATGATACTTTAAAGTATTTGAGTCGTGTATGGATACTTCTTTCTGCTTCTTATTCATATATACTGACAATGTTCTTCGTGACATATTTCCCTATTGCTTTCGAAAATTATTCAACATAGTCGTAGATCTAATACTTTCTTCAATTAATATTTCACATGTTCATTTTCCCCTCATGTCTCTATCTGACTCATTCTTACAAGAACCAAGGTTCTTTTTTGTATTGTATTCCATTGTTATGACTTTCATATATGATCATTTTTGTTTTGTTTGGCTAGGCTCAGCTGTCTAACATGCAGTTTTTCACACAAAACATCTAAAAAAAATTCCTACTAGTATGTCCAAATCAATCTTAGTTTCTGTTTTTTTATTTTTATGTTTGTCTGTTTCTCTTGTTCTTACATTTTTTTTATATTAGTTATCTTGTTTGAGACATCTAGCAATAATATAATGCGTGAATGTTTTATGTCACTTTTCTCACAATGAAACAAAAAAAAGACTAATGGAATAACATATTTATTGATTCCTGAAATATTGACAACATTCTATGATGATGATCTATCGATTCTTGTTAGTTTTTTTCCATGGATGAAGTTTCATACTTCAGTATCAATTGTGCCATTATTCTGTTCTTTGAAAAAAATTGCCGAAAAAAAAAAGTCTAAATAGTGACGATTGTAATTAAAATGATGGTTACCAATATGAAATATGGCATAAATATCGAGGGGAAAAATCTGTATTATATGTTATTTCATGTTTAGAGGCACAGCAACGTTCAAAATGAAAGTTTATATTGATGTGCTTCTAGTTAATCTTCTTTTCCTGCTCAGTTCGCCGCATCATTTTGGGGAAAAGATTTGAAAAAACTGCAACATGTAGAGAACAACCTGTTAAATGCTGAATCCAATTTTAATATTAAAAAAATGAATGAAATGAAATATTCGTGAGAGAATAGTTTATTGTTTCTTGTTAAATTCATATGAATCTTTTGATTCTTGAAATAACAGATGAAAAGTTATGATCCTTTTATTGCTTTTTTTTACTAATTGCTTTAATCTGTAATTGCCAAGTACCATTAGGATCAATCATGAAAGAATATCACCAAGTTAACTTTCACTTTATGATCATTACATAGTAACTCATTGAAAGTGGCAAAAACTGAACAAATGAAGCTTATTGATCAAAAGATCACGTTCCTTCTCAGTATAGAAGGATTTACATCTTTGATGATTATGTGATTTAAAGAATTAAAGTGCTAACGAAAAGTTTCGTTATCTTTAGTTAAATCCTAAATAACAAAGATAAAAGCCAGTCAGTTTTACTTTGAAAATCATTTCTCGCCGTATGAAAGAAAAATATTCGTGTTACATTTATAGAAGAAAGACACGAAACGCAGTTATTAGCAATATCAGAATAGAGATCACTACTCGAAACTAATTGAGCTCATCCTGAAAATTTTTTTAATATAACTATCATCTTTAAGATTGCTTTCTGATCAGATAAATGTGGATTTAAGTACAAAAAAAAAGATTTCTTTTGATTCAATCAGTGTTGAAATTTGAACGATTTCTAGTCTATTTTCTTTTTTAAAATGAAATTATATTGATATCAAACGTATTTCCGATTGTTATCTGATTGATAAAAACGTTTCGAACAATCCTGACATCATAAGGTATTTTTAAGAAAAAGATATATCTGATAAAAAAGTTCACTGAACTATTTTATTCGAAAACCGATAAATAACCATCAGCTTGCTGATTTGATACTTCCAGTAGTGAAAGTTGTATTTACCAGATCTTGAATAAATGCTGGATTTTTTCATAGAAATTGCAAGAACAATAATATCTCAAGTGCGTCAAAGAATACTTTAATCTTTTAGCTGCACGTTTTAAATAGATTCAGATCAAATATATGTTAGTTATTCGCTACTTAATAAATTTGGATAATACTTTCGAAAGGCTACACAATATCTAAGATCTTTGCATATTTCAAAGATATATCGACCTCTTCCTTCTTATTGTTTTCGATAGAAACTATTTTTATGTCAAAATTAGCAACATGTTTAGTATTATTATCGATGAAATGCGTCTCAATTTTGACAATAGTTTTTCTATGATGTTTTTCAGCATGAGTAGTGTGAAGGCTCTAAGACCGATTGATGAGCGACTTTGCATGAAAATTTCTCAGATAATCACAATTAAGTTTCAAGAAAACTCTACCATTTTTCAGACCTATATAGAATAGTTTGGATGGGTGTGATCCTCTATTCACTCACATCCTTCATTTACTTGAACTAGTTTCAATCCATTTAGACTAACGAAAAGTTTACTCTTTCTTTCACTAGGAAAAATAGTTAAAAAGGAACCAATAAATATGATAAATGGTTTTATTTTAAGAATTTGAATAAATGCAGTATCCGCTAAAAACAAGAAAAAAAGACAATAATGTAACATCATTATCAATTCGCTCGTACATTGATAAATAGAATGAAGAAAAATCAATTAATTCTTCCAAACATGTTACTTTACTCTATGATTAACCATTCACTCGAACAGTGCATTCTTCTAAGCGACGTTTAAATCTTCCATATGCACCATCTTGACAACATAGTTTTCATTTCGTTAATGGATTCTATTAAAAAGACAACTTTTATTTTCAAATTATGCACATAGATTGTCATCAATTTGTTTCATTTCTTTTCCAATTCGAGTATCATTATAATGATGTTTATGTCCACTAATACGCGTTAGGAAATTTTATTTTAAGGTGAAAAAATGAATTTTAGAAAAATTTCTCAATACAAACCATTGAAGAATATGTTGACGATAAAACCTCTATAAATTCAATCAATCAACGATAAATATAGATGTCACTTGTTCAATAATTCAAATAATTACTTTCTATTTTTTATTTTTAAATATTTTTCAAAATATCTCCTACCAGAAATTTAAAAAAGCTAATCAGAATTTATTATTATATTTTAAAGTCTTCTTTTAAAATGATATATCCATTAAAGTATATGCAAGCTATTCTTCTTCCTCCATTAATTCTATTGGTCGAAATATTTCTTTTCGCCTTTGTCAAACAGGGAAAAAAAACATTCGTAGATATAACTTTCTAGCGTAATCTAGAAGAGTATCATCATCATAACCAAACCATTTAAATATAAATAATTATGTGTACAAAGATAAAACAATTTACTTTATTTATTCTAGATTGTTTACGAAGAAGTCTTCTGTTATTTTATTAAGTAAGAAATTTCGTAAGTCTGATTATGCTTTGTTTTTGTATATTAAAGAAAGGATTTATTTTTTTAGCATCGATTAATATAATGAGTCAAGATCGAAATATATACAATTCACCTTATCCACCGTATGAAAGTTACCAACCTTATCCGGCTCAACAACCAGCTGGATATATGCCATATTCATCTCAACTCGGTAGCTCTTTCAGTTGGAATCATTTTTATGCTTTATTTATATAGTCTTACAGGTAGTGGTTATGGTCAAAATGAGATGCCATTTCAAGCACCACCTGTATTGCCACGTCCAGATTTAGCCAAAGGTTGGTTTTATTTTAATAATTGAAATTGTTTTTCATACTTGTTAACAGATTCAGGATATACAGGCGTATCTTCAGATTGTAAGTCTTTAGCAATAGATATCATTTAAGATACTATTATTCGATGATAAAAATTATGTTTTTTTTTTATTTTTCTATTTTGGAAAGAAAAATAAAATCGCTGCTATGCTCTAGTCATATTTATTCGTTCCCATGATGTGTGTAGTTATCTTATAGATATAAAAAAACACAAAATTTATGTCGGATACCAATGATAGTAGCAACGAACGATTTAAACTTAGATCTTCATATCGGGATAGGAATTTTCTTTTATAAATAAAATGAAATACATGTGAACTTTTCCTTCTAATTGTTGCAAAACACTAACACGAATTTTAATGTTTTTGTCTCAATGTTTATCTTTTTTTATTCTTTGAAAATTAGATCAGATCTTATTTTACAATATGATGTTGAGTATGACTTTATAAAATTTTTTGTTATTGAAATGAGCTTCAGCTTTTCTTTGTTGTTGTGTATACTACTTCGCTGCATTGTATTCTTCACATAAAGAAAAGCAATTCTTGCTCATAGCCTTATGTCAATTACGTTTACCTTAAAGAAAAAACAAGAATGTTGAGGATTGCTATTGAATATTCAATTGAGAACATTTTTTTCTGCATATCTTTCTAAGACTTCTAAATATAAATGACTGCTTTAATCTTGTTGCTTATGTTTCGTATTCTTTGTCAGAATGTTCATATCGAATGACCAACCACTATGATTTTATATATCTACCTCACAGTGACTATTTGTGAAAATATGGCGTTGTAGGATTCTGCTCGCATTTATTCTCTCATATACTCATAGAAGAACAATAACATATAACAAGAGATGCCAAAGAAGAGAGAGTCAATAGTGACTGAAAACCAGTACTCGAACAGAGTCTTTTATATGCAAACATTTGGAAGAGAGACAAATTGTTGACATGTCATTATCGATCACAATTATAAGGTTTTACAAAATTTCCTATTATATAACACTGTTTTTTTAAGAAATTAATTTACTTTCATATTTTTATTTCCTAATAGAGCCCGTCGATTAAGTCTTCAATCTAATCGGAATTAGAGTCCGCTTCTGAAAACTTTCTTTTGATCGAATCCGATGTCAAAATTATCTGACAAATGTGTATTCTATGTTAGTCAACGAATACAAAT